GTGTTGATGAAAATGTCGATGACTTCTAGATATGTAAAATGACTTCCGCTTGTATGAACCAAAGATATCGATGGCTTTCCACTCTTATGAATGAAGTTATCGATGGCTTTCAAGTATTTGGATAATTTCTTATTTGTTTGAATCTAAAGTTATCGGTGGTTTCCCGATGAAGTTGCAAGTAGCTTTCTAATCTTATGAATTAAAGTTATCGATGACTTCCTATTTATTTAAGCAAAGTTCTGTTTGAGTGTCCAACTATTAAATCCTTATATTTAAATAACTAAAGTGTTTATTTATTTATTTATTTCTTTGAGTGTCTACAATACCCGAGATTGAAAAATATTGATGTGTCCGAAGTGAACCGTCATACGATAAAAGTGGGTTCCATTTGAACTAATTTAGAAAAAAAGCTGCAATATAAGTGTCTAACCCTTGATTATAATTTTTGTTTGAATGTACTACTTGTATGGGCAAAACTACCGATGGCTTCTAAATATATAAATGATTTGTTTTCATGTGAATTGAAACTATTGATGGCTTTCTAGTTATGTAGATAAAGTTGCCGATGGTTTTTAAATATTTGATTAATTTGTTGTATGTGTGAAACAAGGCTATTGGTGGATTCCTACTCGTGTAAACGAAGTTGTCGATAGCTTCTAAATGTTTGAATGACTTGTTATCCGTATGAACCGAAGCTACCAATAGCAACTTATATGGACGAAGTTGCCAATGGCTATCAAATATTTAAATAACATGTTGTCCGTGTGAATTGAAGCTATATATGGCTTTCACTTGTATGGACGAAGCTATTGGTGGCTTCTAGATATTTGAAACTTACTATTTATGTGAACCGAAACTATCGGTGGCTTTCCACTCATGTGAATGAAGCCATCGGTGGCTTTCCAATATTTGCAATGACTTGCTCGTCCATGTGAACTCGAAGCTATCGATGGTTTTTCACTTGTGTGGATGAAGTTACCTGGTGGCTCCCGGATACTTAAAATGACTTGTTGTCCATATGAATCAAAGTTATCGTTGGATTTTCACTCGTGTGGATGAAGCTGCCGATGGATTTCGGATATTTAAAATGACTTACTACTTATGTGAATCGAAGTTATCGATGAGTTCCTACTTGTGTAGATGAAGTTGTCGATGGCTTCTAAGTATTTGGATAATTTCCTGTTTTTATGAATCGAAGTCGTCGATGGCTTTCGGATATTTTAAATGACTTGATGTCCGTGTGAATCGAAGCTCGTTAGTGGCTTTCTACTCATGTTGATGAAGATGTCGGTGACTTTTAAATATTTAAAATGACTTCCTGTTTGTGTGAATCAAAGTCGTCGGTGGTTTCCCACTCTAGTGGATGAAGTTGTCGAAGGCTTCTAAACATTTGGACAATTTCTTGTTTATTTGAATTTAAAGTTATCGGTGGCTTCCCGATGAAGTTGCGATTAGCTTTCTAATCTTGTCAATCGAAGTTGTCAACGACTTCCTATTTATATAGACGAAGCTCGTTTGAGTGCTCAACTATTAAATCCGTATATTTAAATACTCAAAGTTTTTCATTAATTTTTTCTATCCGAGTTTCTATAATCACTCAAGACCGAAAAATATTGATGTGTCCAAAGCAAACTATCATATAATAAAAATGGGTTCCACTTGAACTAATTTAGGGAAAAAAAAAACTATAATATAGTGTCTAACCCTTGATTATAAATTTTGTTTGAAGGTCTAATATTTTTTTTCTATTTAAGTTCCTTCGTTCGCTTGAAACTAGAAAATACTAACGTGGTGGAGATCCACCGACATGAGAAAAAAAATGAGTCTAGCTAAGATTTATTGAGAAGACAGATTAGAAAACTTTATAAAAGAAAATAGCTAACAAGAAATTATAAAAAAAAAATCAAAACGAATTATTGTTAGCCGAATGAACTCGACAAATTTGGTGACAAAATTCTTAAAATAGTTCCAAGATATCATATTTTTCTTTTCTTTTTTTTTTCCTAATTCAAGAGTTTTAATCTTGGCTCATCTAAAAAATTCGAGTTGATTCAGCTAATAGTAATTAATTTTGATTTTAAAAAAAAATTCTTGCCAACTATTATCTTTTATAAAAAGTTATATATTTTTTTTCTCAATAAATTTGAGTAGGACCTACTTTTTATTACGTCGATTAAAAATTATCGTATATAAATGGATCTCGACTTCGTCGAGTACTTTTCAGTCTCAAGTGATTAAAAAAACTCAAATAGAAAAAAAATTAGGCACTCAAATAGATAAAATAAAAGATTGGATACTTAAAGTGCAATTTTTTTAAGTAAGATCCATTTTACCGTGCGACAGTTCATTTTGGAGATGTCAATATGTTTAGTTTTAAGTGATTCTGGACACTAAAACAGAAAAACCACAAAATGGCTACAGGTTTTCAAAAAAAAAATGCGTGTAAGAATAAACAAGAAATAAATTTCAAGAAAAATAAATAATCAATAATTTGATAAAATCAAAGTTTGGACATTTAAATAAAAGGATTCAATGGATGGTTACTCAAATAGAATAAAAATAAAAAGTTGTACATTCAGATTGCAGTTTCCTTTAGAAAAATCCTTCTTGTTTTTATTTTTTTGGTTTTCTGCTCCAAGATTAAATATCTTTCCCATTTAGTCTTAAATGATGTGTCAGAACATGATTAGTGATTCATTGATTAATACATTCTACAATTATCATTGCATCATTAAATGTGTACATGATTTGAAAACATTTCCATGTAACAAATATCACACCACTTACTAAAACAATTTTTTTTTTAATCTAAGTACCTCTAGTATTGTCCATTTACAAAAACTTTTTTTATTTTTTTTGGATAATACTAGAGTTACTATGGTTTTTATTAGTTAATATATTTTATAATTATTATTGTGTCATTAAATTAGAGTCACATTCCATGATTTGAAAATACTTCCAAATAACAAATACCACGTCATTTAGTAAAAAAATTTACTTAAAGATGCACGCCAGATTAACTTTGCTTGGTAAGCTAGCTAAATATCATCACATGCAACGAGGGTGTTCATAAAACTGATTTCTGCCCACTCAAATAAGTAGGATATATAAAGAGCTGCCCTTGTCCAGTCCTTGGCCGCTGTAGTAATAGTTACAAGTAAACAGACTGAAACATCCTTCTTCTTTTTGGAGGCAGAAAGAAGTAGTGGAGGGAAAAAAGGAAAGTTATCTGATTAACAACAGTATGGAGTCATAACAAGCATGGTATTCATAAACTAAAAAGAAACATGTGCATGGGGATGATGAGGATTCAATAAAGTGAAACGGATGGGTGAAACTGAGAAAAGTAAAAGAAAAAGCCATTGGTGGAATGAGAAGATCACAGTTCTCACAGGAGCTAATTGCTACCTATAGGCCCATAGCTTCGATATTTAAGAAATTAAGGAGTCACTGCAATGCAGGCATCTATAAAATTGTTTGGTATTATTTCTATCTTTTTTTTTTCTTTTAAAAAAAAAATTGAAAACAAAAACAGAAATGCTATAATTTGTATACAGGATGACAAGGGGAAAAAGAAACACACTGGAAAATATATACTACGAAGGTTTTGCTGTTGAACAGTACATGTTAAGATAGGAAAACACTAAAATGGACGTGTCTGCTGGTCCTATTTGGATCTAGGCTTCTCCGAAAAGTATGAAGTGACTGACAAATGCGAGATGGCATAGTGGAGTTTGAATGAGAAAATATGAACTGCAGTTAATGCATCCCAGTCCCACTTCAACTACATCTGGTAGCAAATCACATGGTTGGGTTTGAATTGCTAATTGTCATAAATTCCATTAGGCACCATGAAAAGATTTGAATCCACCTAAGAAGATTTACAGATATAGGCAGCTTACTTAGTGTAGACCACACACTGGAAAATATGTACTACGAAGGTTTTGCTGTTGAACAGTACATGTTAAGATAGGAAAACACTAAAATGGACGTGTCTGCTGGCCCCATTTGGACCTAGGCTTCTCCGAAAAGTATGAAGTAACTGACAAATACGAGATGGCATAATGGAGTTTGAATGAGAAAATATGAACTGCAGTTAATGCATCCTAGTCCCACTTCAACTACATCTATATAGATTCATGTGCAGGACTCCAGACACAAATCATTGTGGATACTGTTGGGCACTTAATTCCTCTGAAACTTATGCCTAATTGCTGCCCTTGTTGCTTCTTTTGGTCATTATTGTTTGTTGGACTTTTTTAACCAATTCCCTCCTCATCCAATCTTGTGTTCAACAAACATTTACTAGGTAATGTTAGAACACTGTCCTCAGGCTGTCTTGATTTGGCAATTGGTAATCATTATAAATTATAATTCAGCAGATGGCATGCATTTAAGTCTTACATCCCAAATTTTAAAATATTCTGAAAACTCCAGCGAATCAAATTTAACTGAAACAAAGCAGCTTCTGCCAAGATTACAAAGTGGTATAGGCACAAATCATCCTCCTTTTTCGGGCCACTTGATTTGGACCAATAATCTCCAGTGTTAATCTGTCGATCACTTCAAAGGATGTTGGTCCTAGGCAAAAGTTTGATGAACTTACATCTGGTAGCAAATCACATGGTTGGGTTTGAATTGCTAATTGTCATAAATTCCATTAGGCACCATGAAAAGATTTGAATCCACCTAAGAAGATTTACAGATACAGGCAGCTTACTTAGTGTAGACCATTTTCGATCTTGTTTTGGGTGAAAGAATTCTTCATTTGTTCATCACAATCTCTCCCTCACTTTGTTGTGGAGAAGGTAAAGAAAGAGGCAAACAAAACCAACTGACCATGATGATCATTAAATTAAATCATTTTATTATTAGAAAAATGAAAAAATCTGTACAAATTAAAAGGGGTTACTGCCCCATCAGAGAATGACAATATAACTGTACAAATATGTACAAGAATGTTATAACCAAAATTTGAGAAGACAACCTAGGGGGGCATTTTAAATGTCAAAGTACTTTGGATCTGACGGATAATCATATTCCACCTTTAGCTGCAATGCGAAATAGAATGCCTTGTTAGACAGAACCACAGTGAAATTCGATTTTTCTTACAATTCTAGCACAAGGATGAAGCAATGTGGTTGTACCTAAGTGGTATTCTAGCAAAGGTGAGAGATCTCCGGTTTGAGTCCCACCTCTGTTAATCCATCACTAATATCAACATAAAAAAGTGATGCATATGCCAAAACCATATCCCAATTTCTAGTAGTGAAAACAACATCAACCATGTATAGGAGGCTATTTTCAAAGCTACGTACATGGATCATTGATTCCTAAGGTAATTGCTTATTGTTAGGATGCATCACAACCATGCCTATTGTTTTGTTCACAAATAGAGATTGCATTTTTAAATTAGATACGGAAAAAAGAAAGGGATGGCTAAAACAGCATAATTAAATCATATGGAGAAAAAAGATAATGAAACTAAAATGCATGCCCATGGATGCTTACCCAGCATAAGTATCATTCAAGAGAATGAACAATAAGCAGATCAAAGCATGCATTTCGCAGAAAGAAGATTTCTTCTCATTAAAGGACAATAACAAACTCCAACAAGATATACCTTGCCCTCATCTGAATCCGAATGGCGCTGTGGGAACACTACCCTCATATTGCTATACAAGTAGAAGCGTCGCTCGCTGTCGATGTCCATATTGTCTGCTGCTGGTACAGATGAAGGATCAGATTTGCACCTCTGGAATGACCTTGAACTTTTCTTTGGAAGAGGACACATAAATTGGAGCTGAAGAGCATAACGTAGAACACCAGCTCCAGTGGTGTTCGCATTGACCTTTGAAGAACCATGTACAGACTTGCTTATGCACAAACGAGACGAATTTGGAGGGCTGCAGTCCTCCACATCAGTAATTTTACTTTCATTATTACTGAATCTACTATAGTCAGAAGATCTAGTATTATTTACAGTGTCAAGTCGAGTTGAATTGGTAGCATCTCTTCCATGAGGTAAGGAATTACTAGTATTTGGGAGTGCCGATGGCTTCGCACCATTTTTCACGTCAGAATCTCTGTTCCTTCCATTCACAGGTAAAGAAGCTGGTGCTGAAGAGGATAGGGTGATCTTTTGGCGCAGACATGTCTTTTGAGAAATGCATAGAAGCAAAGAGGAAAAGGAAGGAAAAATATAAAAAAGAAGTCACTTTGGGAATTTCAATGCACTGTGATCAACTGAATTAAACAATGTAGGAAACAAATAGTTTATACAGAATGGATATAGAAATGGAATTCAGAGCTAAGGGTATATCATCGTCTGCTTTATGCATCATTTTCGTTAGAACATCCCAACCAATGCTCAAGCCAATAGGGGGGCAAACATGATACAAGGCATCGAATCTTTCCAACACAGCCCTTGGTATTTGTGGTCTCAATTTGGCATGCAAACCATGGCCAGGTTACTCCGTATAATCTTGTACTCTTCAGATTATATACTTTATATGCATTCTAAAAGATAAGCACTAGACAAAATAGCGCAGCAGTAAGGAAATTCACCTCAAGCAAGGATTTCAGGTCTTTATCATCACATAGAACAGATTCGTGGAGAACATCACGTCATACAAGCATAAAAACATCATACCATCGGCTCATGTAATAGGAGAAAACATGCAAACACAGGTGTTGATGAATAAAATTAATGAAGTCAATTATCCATCTCTCATTGAAACCTTAACACATTTCCAATGATATAACCATGTATTGTTTTATCCTCAATTACCTTGGTACCAGCTGGCATGTCACTTAAATCATAGCTACAACAGAAAGTATGAATAGGTGTCTTTTCTGGATTGCTGAGAACCTGCCAAAAACCAGTTCAATCGGTCAGTGTAGTCTCTTTGGGTAAAGAACCAACAGATATATAAATGCACATAATAAAAGCTGCTACAATCATGTGACAAAGTTCAAAAGTATCAGCACCATAATTCCCCAAATTTTATTTTGTTGACAAGACAACTGAAATATGAGTGCAGTGGCATCATGTTAGCAGTCCCACCAGAAACAGAAACCTACTCAAATATAATTGTATTGTTTTCTTTATCCTCTCAGATCCTGCTTAAACCATGAGATGTAGACCTTCGTTACGACACATAATCAATTATAGGTAACAACATTTTCAGGCAGTTGGCATCGCATGGCAAACACACAAAACTAATTCATGCTACACCTAATTCAAAAGCGCTTTTCTTTGGGGAAAGAATAAAAATGGAGTTCTAACTCGATTAACATTACAAACTTGGAAGAAAGAAGGATAAGTTACCAATTGTATTCTCCCTTTCATTGGTATCCGCAGTCTGCTTCTTTCGGATCGTGAATCATCAATGCTAAGGCTCCTCCTCATTTTTTGGTCACTATACTTGTTTCCTTGCACATTCGCTGCTAGATCTATCGATGAATAGTAGAGTAAGTAGTTATTTCCATCTACGCTAGTTACTGTGAAAGGAAGTTTTTGTGTCTTCGGAGAGAAATTTCCTCCAGTGACATTTAGAACAGCAAGGAACCCATCAATTCTCTGAAAATTAGAAATGACAGAGTTAAAGTTACTCTGATAGAATATCTTTCCTGAATCAAACAAACAAAAAGATACTTCTAGCCTAAGATTGAGATGCTAACCTGACTGACTTTACCAGATGATAACCGACCAGATAACAGGGACTCCTCAAACGAACCAACCAAAGACCTTCTAACATGCACACCAGTAAAACTTCTACATAATTTGACATTTAGAGAACCAAGATTTGAATCCTCACACCAAGGCTGTCCAATGCCACTGGTAACCTCAGAAGTAAACGAATCAAATTTTGTGTGCAGATTATCAAAACCATTTAATGATTCATCTAGTATTTTAAAACCCCCATCCTTCGGGGAAGATAAAATGCCAGAGACAGTTCCATCAAGCGACTGTTCTATATCCGTGAAGGTAAGAAAGCCATCATCGACCTTTCTGGTGATATTGCTGCGCACTCCTGGAGATTTTATTCCTTCAGCGAGTTTTGGACCAAGAGGAGACAATGACAAGGGAGGTGATGCTGCTTTTGTTAAGGGAATTGAAATAGCACTGGTTTGACGTTTTACCTGTGTTGTTTCTCCAAAATAATTAAGTCCAGGTGAAGACATAAATTTATCATGAGGCTTGAACCCTGTCTGAAGCACAGGGCCATCAGAAAAGAATATGGAGTTTGCCTCGCAATTATCAACAGGTGAATTCTTCCATTCTGGAAGACAAGATGCCGACCAGTTTGAACAATTAAAATAACTGGAATTTCCAATATGAGCCTTCTTGTGCTCTTGTGACATAGGAACCTTGTAATTGTCCTTGCTACCCCATAGATTACTCTTACAAATACCATCATCAATGTCTAGGGAAGCACCATTTAATTGATCAGGGTGAAGCATCCCACTCAGAGGAGACAATAACCGCTTCTTGTCTGATGCAGTCGACCCGACTGCATTAGCTCTGATGGTAACTACAGTAGAAGCAGTTTGTTTTCCATTAAATACACCAACAGGAGAATTCAATCCCCTTGACTCAAAACCAACAACCCTAGGAACAGGTGTATGGACATTCTGTCCACTTTTATGACTTAATAAGCCATTCTTATTCTCTACAATGGTTTGCTTTTGGAAATCTGTAAGAGAAGTGCAAGGCATTTCCATCTGCATTCGATGTCCAAGGTTTCCTCCATGCATCCCACTCAAATCGCAACTGCTCACACCAACAATTCGAGGTGAAGTTTGCACAATTGTGCTCAAAGATGTGGCTACTTCCTCAGCAATGCTGCTGGAGGAGAACTGAGGCAAGCCCATCCTTATGGTTGAGTCTATTTTCCTACCAAAAGTTAATAGGATCCTCTTTTAGTTCCTTTGTTCACCGCACTCTATCCCAGTATTCCTCACTCTCTTCCAAACACACTTATATACAAGCATCAATTATGGATGTCTCATGTTCAAAGCAAACCAATGCAGTGCAAGTCCTTCAAACCTACCTGGAGCACTAAAGAACATCAAACGTTCAAATGTGCAACATCTCATCTATCAAAGAAGCAAGCTTGACTTGTATGACCAACACCACTGCTCTCTGTCACCAAAAGCAACTCCATCTCAACTACAATTCTTCCATTATATTTTGTGGAAAAACTCGAGCAAACCAGATATCCAACATAATTGACAGCAATCAATCCCTGGAACAATATGCAAAAGTACATAAGCTCTATAAGACTACCATGGTCCAAAATATTAAAGAAGGATGACATTAACATATGCAGAGGGCTCATAATACCAGAATAACCCAACAGAATGATAGAAATAAACTTCGAAACATAATATGATCCGAATTTACTCATAAATGATCAAGGCCACGAAAAATTCTGAAAAAAAAAAAAAGTACTTTTATAACCACTAATTGAAAGAAGATCATTTATTTCCAGATAAAAAGTGAAAGCTGCATTTAACCGTCACCAATATAACATTTGTTTTCAGTTTGATGTTTTAACTACTTCAAAACCAAAACAACAAGAACCTCAATACCTACTTCTTAATTCCATTTTCACCTCCATTCATTTTCTGGGCAAACAAACAAACAAAAAACCATATCAAAACCATGAAAAGATCACAACTTGAACAAATGGTATTGACTTTACCAAAGCCAATCATCAAAATCCAATTCAAAAAACAAACAAGTCCATGATCATAGTACTTACTTAAAATTCATCTACTGATCAAACCCACAAGCATCAAATGCTTTGAAAGTCAATGAAGCAACAAAGGAAACAAACAAATAAAAAAAACCCAATTCTTTATTGTTTCTAAATCTTCTTCTTTTTCCTTCTCCTTGGAGTCTCTTCTCTTCTCTTTGAAGTTCCTGCTGTTTCCATATATATCTCTCCTCCTCTCTCTTATTCAATGGGTTCCCTTCTCTCTATCTAACACCTGTAATTCTATCTTTCTCGAGAGTCAGTGGTTGCTTTAATTAACCAGAATTTGCTGGCTGGTTGAAAATTTGTGTTGTTTTGTTCAGCTTTGTACTTTTTGAATACCACAACTTGCCTAATAAAACCACACGTCTGCGTCTGTGTTCAAGTTGCGGTTCTCTTTTTTCCCCTTGCATGTCTTTTTCAACCTTTCATTCTTTAATCGGTTGCAGTATTCCCTCTACACTTTTCTTCTATCTTTATCATATTTTTTATTTTATTTTAAACTAGTTTTTTATATTTAGTTTTTATCTTAATCTCATCAATTTACTTATTTTTTTGAGTTAACAGTGTTTATTTGCATAGTTAGGTATACAAAATTACAACATGTGTCAACTTGTTTTTTCTTTAATCTTATCCCTGCGGTCTTTTCTTCGTCTGAATCTTTTTTTTTTTTAACTAAAATTGAATAAATAAATTTTATAAAAATAAAACTGTATTTGATCATTTTCTCTAAAAATTAAGAAATAAAAAAATAAAGGTAAAAAATATTTTTTATTCAAAATATTTTTTATGAGTTTATATATATATATATATGATGGTAAATAAATTTTGAGTATAAAATAAAATATTTGTATAATTTTTTTAAAATATGAAGATAGTTTTAGTTAAATTTTTAAATTTTTGAATGGCATTTATAATTTTATAATACTTCAAAAGAGTATATTGTAACTTATTTATTTTGATTTTATAAATTCTTAACTTGATTCGATAGTAGAAATAAAAATTTTGGTTTAAATTTTAGTCAAATTAAGAAATTTATTGGTGTTGAGTCCAACACTAATAAAAATTTATATTCAAATTTTTTAAAATTTAACTAAAAATCTCTTTATATTTGTACAAATAATATAAATATTTTATTTTATATTTAAATTTTGCTTATTGTCATTAAAATAAATTTAAACTCATAAAAAGATATTTTAGACAAAAAAAATTTTTATCTTCTCCTTTTTGTAGTTTTTTTTCAATTTTTAAAGATACTGATCGAAGATATCTTCATTTTTTATTTTATTTATTAAAATTTGATAAATAAATAAAAAAGAGAGAAGGGTAAGATTTTTTTTAAAAAAAAAAAAGGAATAAAGGAGCGAGAATGAAATAAAAAATAATAATAATAAAATCACATGTGTTGCAATCTTGTGAGGCTAATAAAGCGATTTAATATTGTCAGTCTAAAAATATAATGAAAGAACGAGGGTAAGATGGAAACTAAATGTAGAAGGATGATTTTAAGTCTAGCATAACTAAAAAATAATTATAACTAATTATTTGTAAAATAAAATTTAAATCTTGATTTGGTCAAATTATGACAATCCTTTTATAACTAGACTAAATCTTTGATGATGGATTAAATGATTATTTATTGCATTTTTATCATGGAATGGTATTTTCCATATAGGTAGTATCGTAAGATAAAATTTAAAATTTAATACCTTAATGTTTCCTAGACATAAATATAATCATTTGTCTAATTCTTTGAATCTCTACTAAATAAATAAAAAAATTAGTGCTTGCTTGTTTCAATTTATGATTTATTATGACAAAAAAATATTAGGTTATTTTCATTTTCAATTTTTTTTAAAAAAAATATTAGGTGTTTTTATATATAAATTAATAAGCTGTACCAATTTAGAACAAATTGAAAGAAAATGATTGCAAGTTAGCTACAAAAACATGCACCATTTCTAAAAAAATAATAATAATAAATAAAATAATAATGTTAGTTGACGAAAATAAAAATGGTTTCAAATAATTTACATCAACGTGGTTTAAAATAGTAAATTTGAATATAATGTTGTTACATGTGATACTAGAAGCGATTAACAAAATTTGAATCGATGTCTGTTGTTGGATTGGGTTCCGTACTTTTAATTATAATATAAAAGGGGTATGCTAATGACTTTTCCGTTATTCATGGCGTGTGGCCATAACATTCAATATAATGTTGCGTGGAATATTAACCTGTTCTGATTTTCCAGGAGAATTTTGGACCGTAGATTATAAAAAAAAAAAAAAAGTAAATTTGAAGGATAATGGTCCTGGGAAGCTGCCAAGGTGTGCACGTTTCTTCTGGCCAGGAAACTCTTCCCATCAACCTCATACCCTACTTTTCTTCTCTGCAGGCTATTATTATTATTATTATTATTATTATTATTTGTGGTGGCAAATGGCAAACCAAGAAGCTCAATTAGCTCCACGTATCATGTTGGGGAATGCAAATTGTTGAGTCATCGTGCCAATACTGGTCGGTTAGACGTGCTGATATTATGACACATTAGTTGGTTTCAGCGTTGCGAATTAAATTAAATATATTTATTTTAATTTAATTATATATATAATAATATTAGTTAATAAAAATATATTAAATTAAAAATAAAATTTACTGTAATTTTATAATTTTTAATCAAAATCTTTCATCTATTTTTTGTTTATTTTCGATAATTTTTGTAGTTAAAAAAAGATTTACTCTTTTTATGTATTTATTTTTAAATAAAAATTCATAATAATCTAAATATAAATAACATTATATCAAAGAAATAAAAAGACATAAAAATTAACAAATAATTTTTTTTATTCTAGTTTAATACTAATGAGAAGATTTTTTTTTTGTGTGTGTGTAGGAAATAATGAATAATATTAGTAAAAAACATTATATTTGAATTATTAGGCGGTTCTTCTAAAATATCATTTCAATTATTTTATTTAAAAAAATAATTTTAAAATATAAAAAATAATAGCACCGGTCGGTGTTATGAGTTTAGATGATAGTTGATTTTTAATAAAATAAATAACTTTGATATATATTTTTTATACATCATAATCATACTTATTGGGTCGAGTGTGCAACATATGCTGATTTTTTTACAAAAAAATAAGTTGTAAAAAATATATTAAAGTTAATATGGTGTAATAAAAACAACAACAAAATTTATTTCGATAAAATTTAATTATATAAATAGTAAGTGAATAAAAGTAAATAAGACACATGAATTCTATTTTTAAAAATTAGATTATATAAAAAATAAGAAAATAAAAAAAAACTAAAAAACTTATTCAAAAATCCATACATAGAGAAAATAAATCATATTTATTAACAAATAAATTTACATAAAAAATAATAAAAAATTAATCTCATGAGATTTTTTTATAAAAAAATGGCAAATTGAAGACATCTATTTTAATATTTTTTTTCATAACATTGTATTGAAGAAATAATACAACATAAAAATCTAAATAAAAATTAACAAATATTTTTTTTACTCTTGTTTAATACTAATGAAATGAATATTTTTTTAAAAGTATGTAGATGAGAAGAATTTTTTTTTCTTTTTTTTGAAAGTACGTACATTTTATACACACACTTGGTGTACTAGTATGGAAAACCTTCCACAATGCACTAGCAGTTGAGAAGAACAGTAGGATATCGTTGGCTTCAAAATGTAAATGTTCCAGTAGGCCAAAAGAAGAAACAGTTATGCATTTGTTCTTGCGTGCGGATGTAGCTAACGGAATGTGGAGATATTTCGGTAACTTGCTAGATTCAGTAGGTGAAGTTAATACCATACAATAGTTAACAAGGCAATGGTTCCCAAAAGGCAAACCGCATTCACAGAAACAATTAGCGAAAATGGTGGTATACAACTGTGTTCTTTGGAAAATATGGTTGGCAAGAAATAATTCAGTTTTTGAGGAGGTCAGTGTATATGGTAGCTAAGTTTGTAGGTTAGCTTATTTAATTCCTACTTATTTGTACTGTGGAATTACTAGCAAAGCAGTAAATTCCCTAATAATCTTCAGGGGTTAGACTTTCTTGTCCTCCCAATCTATTAACAATAA